ACACTCCATATTAGATGCTCCTGCTCACCTGATACATACATTCCCACATTCCCCAGACAGATATGACAGAGCTTTTTGTGTGTTTCTTTGTCTCCAGTAATACCTTCATTTGTATCGATAGGAGAAGTTTTCCGTTTCAATCGCATGATTCTGAGTTGTCCGTTACTATTCCGTGATTGTCTAACGATTATTCTTCTGGACGAGCACTTTATACCAAGTTTCTTGATAAAACTTATTATTCTGGGGTACTACAAGACGCAATACAGTCCTATTTGCTGTTCTCTCATGTATTTACAAGTTATCTACTAGCCCCTAGGATCTTGTTAGCAAGTATGCTCATGATGCCACCAAAATTGGCTCCAAATTCCACGGTGACGTACAATACAGAGATATTCGATGTTAGTTATCAACTCAACTGTTCCCACAGCAGGTTCTTCTTAACGAACCTGACGAGTTCTGAACTGCACCCTTAAGAGAAGGTTCGATGATTGAGGGGTTCTTTATTTCCCACTTGCGATCCTCAAACATTGCTCCAGCAGTTACTCACCTGTTTTTGTATAGTCTTGTGTCATTATTCGCCTTCCTTATCGCTAACCAGTTCTATGCTGATTCGTTAAAATCACTTCACGTACAAGTGGTATGTGCTTTATCTACACCTGCTCAACTTTATCGACCCGACAAACTTTTCACCTCTTGCGAGAACTTTTCCCGTCGTATTCTATCGGACTTCAAACAGGTATCTACTTGTTTAACTAGGAGTCTTTTATAAGGTCCTGCTAACTCGGACCACTGTATACCGTTTGTCTGTTGTTCCATATCTTGCTAGAGTTCTGGTACAGAGAGCATCAATCGGAGATGACCATTTACAAAACCCAAAGAAAATTACATTCGTCTATGTTCCTTTATATAGTATGCAAAGCTCTGCTGAACATTCATTCATTAGAATAATTAAAGCAATTCCTGATTTCACTTGATTTGGAAAATAAATTGGCCATATATCTCAATGAACCACCTATTCCCTGTTCACTTATTTTTGTAGCTCACCGTTTGAACTTTGCGTGTTTTATTCGTCAAAAAACCACCATGTGTTCCGCTCGATGCTGACCGGTATGGCTTTTGAAATGGATAAATTAAAGATGCTTTTTGCGTGCTTAGAACTCGATTGTACTGTAACACTGAAAGCAGGATGGATTTAAACGCTTGATCAATCAACCATTTCGGCGACAACCATTTTACGTCTTTCATATCACTCATCCATCACATGCAGACCTCAAAACCAATGTGTGTTCACTTCTGTAACCAGTTGTCATTATAACCTTGTGTATACCCAAATACCTTCATACCGCTTGTTGGTTGGCCCCTATCCGTAAAGGTTTCCGTCACGGAAAGCATCCGTTACAGACAAAATTTACCAAACGTCAAGGTTAATGACACCCACTCTCACATTATTACGCGATCATCCTTTCTTTCCTCCAAGACTCTCTATCAGACTTATTTGTGTGCGTCTGTGTGTGACTGGTTACGATAATAAACGCCCCTAGTGTGTACTGAGCTGAAAATCCATTAATTGGGATGAATGGTTAGAAATTGGTGACTTGAATTGACAATTTTGGTTCGCTATAAGGCAACATCCTTCCCCCCCCCACTTTTGTTGCTTTGTTTTGTTCCGAATCCCCTACCAGCCCATCTACATTCACCTAAAAATATGTCTACGAGATATTCGGTGATCATACGACCTAGAACACCTACAACAGAAAAACACATCTGCAATATCAGCCTCCTCGATAGAATAATGATCGCGAGCTATGAATCTGTCATTGAATCCAACGAAATGCACCGAATGGCCGTTTGCCAACGACCGAAGATCCACACATCCGTACCAATATTATTATTAACGCTGGTTTATCTTTGCACTGAGAGCAGTATGTTAAATATCTTGATGTATTTCTGACCACAAAGGCCTCAAATATACTCATCACATCCAGGAGACATTCTCGAATATGCGTGTGTTAACTAAAGTTTTGCGCCGCGAGAGACTGCGTTCTTTAAATTGCGTTCCTTTACATTCGATGGAAAAGTTGATCTTTTCCTGAGTATAGCATCGTCAGACATACTGTTAACCAGTAATAATCATACGTAGTGGTCATGGCGTCGGTGATGACACAAATAAACGCGATAAGCTTCACTTTCCATGTGATTTTCAATTCAGCACGCAACATGCTAACAGATCATGTAGATCCTGCGTACTCAAAGACCTCGTGCTTGTATCGATTTATTTATTACACCAATTCTCATACATTTAGATATATCATGTTCATATGAGTAGAGAAGAATTTGAGCAAAACAAGCATTGAACTGAAAGGTTGTTTTGATCAATAATAATTGTTTGCATGATGGGTGAACAGAATTCTCCAATTCCATTCGAAATAACACTAATGCACACCAATTTCGTTTCACAGCGTACAAGTGTTAACCGCTCAGTCGTGGGGACCGGTATTCTAACGCGTAAAACCACCACCACCAGCAACAGTAATAGACACTGAGACAATAAGAATCTCCTAACTGTATGTAAAGAAAAAAATTTACACTCACAAGCATTGATGTTCCACAGATCTGTATCCGAAATAAAACCAGATGCACAGGACAGTAAGATTCATCACAGATTGGGGTACAGCTTTACATATGTGGTTATTATTAACGAAACCGAGCCCTTTCACGGGAAGCGAACTGATTTTAGCCTCGATCAAGTTTCGCTATACTACTGATTTGCTACTTTACAAATACACTTTAGAACTAAGACTACTTTGGGTTGCTATCATGTGAAATCCCGTCCATCTGTTTGTACCAGGTGACAAAGACCACACACGGTGACACATTCCTTGACTCAGGGGAGCGGAACTTTGTAATATTGGCTTACTACCACTGATGATGACAATGTGGAACTGTCAAACAAATTGTCAAGCTTGTGGAACAGGAGAAATGGAATTGCAAACTCACTTTGCTTTTTGAGTTGTTGAAAATCATTTCAGATAAATCGAAATTTGTGTCCCGATTCAGTTATGGCAGTGCCGCTTTAGCTGTTTTCTAACACCACATCCCGAAAACAGCACATTGGGAATATTACATGAATGAGACAATAATTACAACTCGGTAATCATAAATGTAAAATTATGGGTGGAAATGCCAGAAAACAAAGAGTTCAAATCCTGCAGATCTGGCCTGTTAGACAATTGGTTAATTAATCAAATCCACCATTTTTCGAGTATATTATCGCGTTCAAACACTTTGTTTTAACGAAGCGTAATTTGAATTGCATCTTGTGTGCATTTCTTTTGCAAATTTTAAGTAGCACTTTTTTCATAAATCCCCGTGTTTAGTGGTTTAGGGAATCCCATTTCTATCCACAATCACGGGTAAATGTAGGGGCTTTCTTCTCTCGAAGAATTTCCCAATTCAAACTTGATTCGCAGTTACCTGTGTGTAGCGATGTGGGATAACTGATATTGATCTGAGCTGACTATCATTCAGACTTCATCTTCACAAATAATCCTCAGTTAAGTCATTCATCCATACATTCGGAAACACTACTAGACTTGAGTTTCTGTAGTAGTTGAAGTAAGCACAGATCAGGCAGGAATTACAAATCAATAATCAATAATCACGGACGCCACAGAAACACTGAATCGCAACAACACTCGCCGCTGGTATCTCACGTAACCGAAACGCAAGAAAAAAGCCACAGAATTAACAGTCAAATTATTAAAATAAATCAAGGGGATTAAGCAAGATGTACAACGGAATTTCATTGGTTATCCAAGTATCCACCAATCGCGTGCTTGTATTATTAACGTCATACAGTTTCTGTCTGGACTGCACGACTTCTGATTAGCCAGCACAGTCGACATGTGATTCGTTGTCCAGAAACTGTAACGCGTCGCTGCGTGACTATAGGCCGGGATCACCACAGTTTCGCTCGTTCGATTATAGTTAACAGATGGTCAACTGTCTCCCTTCGTTACTATCGACCCAAATTAACTGACCGACTATCGCTGAAGACGATACCTGAACATCCATGAATTGGCGATTCAGTTCACGCCTTTTATGAGTTGGTAAAACACACGCCTTCCATGCGATGGGTCCGGAGTTCAAAGCCCAGACGGGACAGTGCATTTGCACTCTTGATGAGCTCTAATAAGAGTGAACTTCGAGTATACTGCTTCCGGGTTTATGTTTGACCGGATTATCTGAGGATTTTAGGCGAAAGTGAAGGTTGAAGGGTAGTCGATTTAAATCAGTAAGAATTTCCTTATCTTTATTATTCCATTGACTGCACAATTACAAACGTATATTTGCAGCATGACTTTCTGGAGATCATTTGAAAAAAAACTATATCACAATTCTGCACGATTTATGCCCAGGATAATTTTGGTGCATCTCAACATGGTGCATACGGCAGACCGAAGCTGTATGACGTCAAGACAACAAGCACGAGAGTGGTGGATACCTGAACAAACAAATAAACTTCCTTTGTACCTGTTATTTAATCGCATTGATTTTTTCAATAAACTGCTACTTATGTGTCTTTTTTCCCGCTTCTCCGTTACGTGATATATCAGCGTGCAAGTGCCTGTTGCGATGCAGAATTTCCGTTTCGTCCGTGATTCTTGATTCCTAATTCGTAATTCGTGATCTCTGCCCATTTCAACTATTGGTTGTGTTCACGGTTTTTTCTGATGTCTATCTAACTGTATATACTCTATAGCTCAATTCTCAATGACTCACGCAATCAGTTTTGTGTTGAAAAACCGAAGTGCTTGTTTATTCGGATTCGTAATCCACCCCATCCCGGCGGGGCATTTTCATGTTCCGCATCAAAAAACGTTAGTCTCTCATAGTGATCACCCATTGTGTTCAATCATGCAGGTTTTAGCTTTTGCTCGGGAGTTGTTTTAATCAATCCATTGTCGTGCTTCTTTAACTTCGATGAACAATTCGATCGCATGGAATTGCGATACCACATCTTGTGTACACTGACTACATTTCCGGAACATGCACGTTCCCTATGTCTGTCTTTGATTCTACTACACAGGGTCCTCACGCTGTACAGGTTCCACTATGTTCCATCTTGCATAAATCTGCCAAGCGTATCCTCCATTTTTCAGTATCTTTGTAACAACAACAATAAAAACCAGAAAAGCGAGCAAATTATGTAGCTCCAGTCCAGGTGTAAATCTTGTGTGTAACTTTCTTCCGCCACGAAGCAACGTTTTTCATACATTCATTGGTGCTATAAGATGGATATATACTACATGAGTTGGCGTCCTAGGACCTATGCGGCTTACCCGGAGTGCAACGGACCACCAAGTTCAAAGTATCGAAATTTACTGAGGAATTGCAACCAAACATTCATTGTGGGCTCTGTAATGTAACCCGTTCACAGTAGTGGCTCGTGATCTGTCAACAAACAAATGATAAATTTATTTTAAACAATGAAGGGTATTTCTTCTCCAATCAGTCAGGAGGTATCTTCAATGAAAAGGTTTTACTAGGTGTTGTACATTTTTGTTTGGTAAGTTAATTGATTAGTTGGTTGTTTGGCTGTTTGGTTGGTTGGTTGGTTGGTTGGTTGGTTGGTTGGTTGGTTGGTTAGTTGATTAACGCACACCAATTGTGAGTTAGAAATTGGTGAAAACGTAATGATAAGTAAACTCACTCGGATGTGACTTAAATATATCTGTAGTAGCAAATGAATTTCTCCTCGTCATGAGATGCATTAGGAACGGAATAAACACGAAAAAACCCGATATATATCAGAAAACAAGAATTAACCCAAGGCTAGAGCCTTCACAAAGGCTACTGATCTATCTGGATAAAGGAAGGGGATGAGGAGACGAGAGACATGAAACCAAATGCCTCTTTCGTAGAAAGTAAACCTTCTATTCAATTGACCGCAACAGAGAAGATGCAGCCGACTGTCCAATTTACTTCCACTTCAAATGCCTAATCATTTTTAACAGCCCGACACCTTTTTTTGCATGGATTTTATGGATCAGACCCAAATCTGGATAAAATTTTTAACATCTAGCCGACAGATAACAAAATGGGGCTACTTGAGCTGCGCACGGTTCAGAAACACTGAGATACTTTTGGTATTTTAAAAGGAATATCGGAAT